GCTCCGCCGCCGGCGCCGCCTCGTTATTCTCTTTCTTTTCGTGGGGCACCGTCAGGGTCGTGCCGCCGGGGGCCTGGGTTGGGCGGCTTGGCTGATCGCGGGTGCCCGTGCCCGATGCCAGGCAGCAGAAGCGAAGTGTGCACTCAGTGTTTACATTCCGCTGCCAGCTCTTAGTGGACATCACTCTCTTGCATAATATTTACACTAAATACCTAGCAATTGAGATTAAACCGGCTCCCTATCAGGAGTGTGAGCAGTTCAAATGTGCAAAGATTAACTAAGCTGTGGAGAGGCTCTTAGAGCAGCTAGTGATGAGGTGCGTGGGAGTGTGTGCACCCAGGTGTAAGAGTTTAAACACTTTCATGTTTGCTTTTATTATTATTTTTAACAGAGGCCTCCTGTTAAAAAGCCTCACTGAAGCATACTAATTTGTACCAGGATCTGGCATAACTGCTCTTGAGCTGTCCAGACAGCAGCTAGCTACAGTAGTGAGCTGCCAGTGCTACTCAGAGGCAAGGAGAACAGTGCAGGAGACACCACGTATTTGGAACCATGATGAGATAGTTACTTTTGGTCCAAATATAGACTGGAGACTGTTGCTGAACAATGCTGCACTGAACTTTGTGTTCTGCAGCAGTCAACATGACATGTACAGCTGAGTCAGATGTGCAGTTTTGTATTTGTGCAAGCTAAAAACCACTTGAGTTTAAGGACCCTGCTTTGGATGCTACCTTCCTTGACAACAGTGAAAGCTGCCCATTGTATCTACTTTGGTAATGGGAGAGTGATTCATCATGGTGCCTGGCTGGTTTGGTTTTCATTTCAATGGAAAAGTAAGATTCTTTTGATGAATTTAGGAAAAAGCTCACTCTGGGAGGTGTGGAAGATGAACTTTCAATATCTATTTGCAACATGTGATATCTCCATTTTCAGCTTGGCATGCAAGCAGGTGAATCATTAATGAAGTTTAGCAAGAATCTGTTTTGATAAGATATCTCTGATCTACTGTACAAGATATCTCTGATCTACTGTGAGTTGCGTGTTCTGATCATTTGAGTTCATCTTGCATTTTGAAAATATTAATAGGTGTTTTTTCCAAGTTGATAATTTCTAGTCTCTCCACCATATTTTCTGTCAAGTCATCATTTCAGCTCTTTCAGAAGCATATCCTACAAAACTTTCATTTCACCTCAGCCTTACAAATCCTTCCTCTCTTCACCTTTCTGAGGATGTGCCTCCCATTTTCTATACTTATTCTGCTGGTATGTGCCATGCACCGTTGGTTGGTTGTCCTGATGTTTCAGCACACTCGGTGTCTCTTCCCATGGTTTTGTTTCTCATCCTCTTTTTCCGTTTTCCCTTATTACCAAGTAGAATAAAACGTAAAAACGCTTTGGAAGTTTGAGGCATCTCTGACCCCACAGGCCAGGCTAGGAACTCATCACCTGTTTCAGCCTGGGCACTCTGATCCATGAAGATTGTCCAGGATCCATTACCTCTGTAGTAATGCTGCTCATGTTTTTGTTTTTTAAAGAGGGCCCATATGGGATTTTTGCTGGAAGAGATGCATCCCGAGGTCTTGCCACGTTCTGCCTGGATAAGGAGGCTCTGAGGGATGATTATGATGACCTCTCTGATCTCAATGCTACACAGCAAGAGACCTTGAGGGACTGGGAGTCACAATTCACTTGTAAGCAATTTAAAACCTATTTACAAAGAAGTAGCTAACTCGTGTGTAATGAGGGGAGCAATGGTTAAAAGGCTGCTACCAGCTGGAAGCATCAGGCTGGAAACTTAATTGACTTAACACCTCAGTTTACCAAGAATCACTAGAATTACTGTTACTCTAAAGAATTAAGAAAAATGTCAGGTTTTCCTTCTGCATTCTCCCTCCCTCCACTCCTTACAGAACAGCAGGCAAGATGGAAGCACTCCGTCATAGCACAAGTGTCATAAGACCATCCAAAAAGTTGAGAGGAATGGGAAATTAAGAGCAAGATTTGATAACAGTTAAGACCCCATCTATAGAGACGATTAGATTTTAATGCTCTGAAAAATGAAGCTTGTGTCCCATACAGCGTCTCAGAAATAAGAGTAATGTGAAATATTACTTCTTGGGGGGTTTGAGTTTTGAAGACTGTTTAAACTAGATCTTTTCCCCTTGGAGCTCTTGATAAATCTTTTTTACTTTAAATAAATTACTCTGCATGGCCTTGCTGGTGACTTTTATCACATTGACAGACACTGTATCCAGGTGACTTTCTCCCCCAGGAGGTGATCAGGAATGGGCAAATGCCACCTTGTGCTTGCAAACAGCCTGGTCATCACCATCCCAGTGATCACCAGAAGGCAGAACTTACACACTTGAGATGTTTGTTCTAAAATTAACAGAAGGAAGTCACCTTCATAGGTGCCTTGGGTTTTTTTATGCTCAGTATGAAAAGCTTAAAAAAGGCAGTTCCAAGTGTTCTGTGTCATGTGCTCAAACAGGAACACTTCACAGTTTTGTGGAAATTGGTATGTTCACTTTGTGTCAGGGCGTGCCCACCGGTGTGAGTTTTCTTTCCTACCGTGTATCTTGTTGATAAAAACAAATTCATCCATATCTCCTGATGCCTTTTAGGCAAATGAACACCAAAGACATTATTTCTACTCAGATAAGACAAAAATTAAATGTATCAGTTGTTTGTCTTGATGAATTTATATATGTACGATGGAAATCGTATCTACAAAAAAGGTAGTATAGTGCAAATAAATAGATTTTGGTTTTAAATTCAGTGTTCAGTATCAAAGATTGACTATCACTATCTAGATTGGAGCTTTCCTCCACGTAACGTCATTAGAACATCTCAGGTGATGTGCCCCATCTGTTTTGGGGGTCTTCCTGTCTTAATCAAGACTGTTAACTGTGCCACACTTGAGTGGCTGTTTTGTGATGCTACCAATATGTCACAGAAGCCAGAACTATGCTACCAAATACCTGACCTAACTAGTGCTTAAGTCTACCTGTTCAAGAGTGTGGCAGCAGGACTTGACAGTGAACTGCACTCTTTTTATTACTATGTTTCTATTCAAGGGCAATTAGTAGCTTTAAATGCATTAATTATAACAATGCTAGTCTGAAACCTGTGTAGTCAGAGGTGTCTTTTGCAAGGTGCCAGATGGGCAACGCAGGAGAGCTCTCTGTTCTGACACCACTGTGATCTTGGCATTTTCACCTGTTCAGAAGGAGATACAAAGTAAGGCAGGGGCTTAGCTGCCTAATCGGATAAGAGATCCAGCTTTGGCCTTGGGAGAAAGGATCTCTTCTCTGTCCTATCAGAAATTTTCAACATGTATTACAACAAATAAAACCCCTTGAAAGTTGCGTGCACACATGTATGTGTGTGTTTGTATAATGCAGAACGTAAATAATCTAACAAAGCCATCAGCTGAAAAACTAGCTTTGACATTGGCTAGAGAAATAATCTAATCCAGGATTCCTCTTTACCAGGATGAGTCCCTAGGTTTACATGTGTCTTTACATCCATTCATCTTTCGGCTTAGGCAACAGAAGGAGAATTAGAGTTACATTTACTTTGTGTGTTTCTTACACTTACTACAACATTAATAGCAGTTCAAGATAGTTGATTTTGGCTGAGAGCTGTCTTATTATAACATAGACATGTTGTTAATTCAGGAAACAGACATGGGAGTTTAAAAAGTTGTATCTTCAGAGCAGAATAATGACTCAGATTCTTTTTTTCCCCCCCAGTTAAGTACCACCATGTTGGTAAGCTGCTGAAGGACGGGGAGGAACCCACCGTATACTCTGATGAAGAAGAAAAAGATGCCCAGGATGCAAAGAAAGAATAGAGAGTGCAATGAGGAACAATTGATTTTTGAATCGTAAAGGATCATTTGTAACATTCCACTTCTGGTTTACATGTTGCAACAGCAGCAATGCTTACAAAAGGTCCAGAGTTACAGTGAATTGAGTCTTTTCAAATTCAGTAGTAAACTACTAAAGGTCTAAGATCTGTCTTCCTTTTAAACCTGCATAATCTGAAGTGTGCACAAAAAATGTCTGTGCAAAAGTAAACTGCAACTTTGGCAATAAAGGACTATAGGACTATTACTATTTTTCTTCTATAGCATTTAGTGCAGAGTAGGTTGAAATTGTTTTTCATTAACAACCTAGCACTGTGGAGACAAGCACAAGAGTAACTTCACATATGCAACAGAAATTCAACTAAACCTTGTTTTGTGCTAGCTTCTGCAGGATCCAGGCCCTGGGTTGTAATTCCTTTACAAAAAGGACTGTATTTTATTTGTCCATGAAGCATCATACTTATTTGTGGTGTGATGTAATTCAGTGTGATGTGAGATAATTTGGCTTTTAAGGAGCTGCATAGTGGCTTACAGATAAACACTAATTGCTTTTTAAAAAGGTAAGAGGTTTTGAGAGGTTAAATCACTTTTAGATACAAAATTAATAAGGACTGATGAATACTTTATGTATTCAGTCATGCATAATTATGCAGGGATTAAGATTATCTTTTACTTTTAAAGCACATGTGAAGCATTACAAAGGTTTAGATACTGAGTGCAACTAGGCATCCCTAAAAACTAGGTACACCATCAAGTGTGACTTGACTACTATTGGTTCACTTTTCCTCTTAGTAAAACTGTCCTGTGAATTTTATTGAAATTATATGAAATGGGGAAGGTCAGCTGCTACTGAGTCCGAGGCTTAAAGGAGACTTGCTGGTGTGGCATGATTAACAAGTGCTCTTGTACACGCCCCTGTGACTAGCAGAAAAATGTCACTGGTCAATGTAACTTATGTGAGTTTCCCCTACAGAATAAAACCCCTGGTGTAAGCTGTTTTTGTGGTGAGGCCTCTGTTGCTTTGGAAAGTTGCCGTTAAAAGGAACAGCAGGATCTGGTGCATAACCACCAATGCTATACCTGTGGGACCTGACCTTTGAATTGCTTTTCACTTACTCTCTTAGCTCACATCTATGCTGAATTGCTAGGTTTGTTCCTGCTCTGTAACTTTGTCTCCTACCAGTGGGGGCTGGGGCAACGGATTTGACCAAGGAGAAGTGTGAATATGCTCATTTCATAATCCAAATTACTTCTGCACAACCTTCTCAGAAATTCCAGGGAGATAACAAGTGATTTGGTGATCTCTCATAAACATGTTTCTTTTCCAGGTGCTTCTACTTGGGTGCCTGTCTGTTAAAGTTCCCCCCATTTAGCTTCTCTGGTTTGGCTGCCTTGCTGAATTGTTTCACTTGGCAACAGGACTGAAAGGCTGAGCTGAGTCCTGAGTGGGAAGCCACAAACTAGGCAGAACTGTTTGGAAGTAGAGTGCATTGCACAAAGGCAGCTTTCATAAACAAACATGTTAAAGTGCCTGAGACCATCTGTGATGAGAAAAAATGACTTTCCCCCAGTCCTGACACTGTCATGGCATTTTCTTCTGGTTACCTGGGTTTTCAGATGAGGGGTGTAGTTGTAGGAGCCAGACAGCTTGTGTGAAGTGGTACTGTGTGAACCACCTAAGCAAGGCCTATACACCAATGTAAATCATCATGACCTTTACATTGCTGTTTTATTTTAAGAGATATTCACACTTTGCAAACTACTACTAATGGTTTACCTCAAATCAGAAATGTGCTTTTATTTGTTCAAGGCAGAAAATAAAATACTCTTGCATAATGGTGGTGTTTGGTTTTATTTACTGCAACTCAATGTGATACTTAATCCTCCCCCAGTATTTCAGGTTTTAAATTGTCTTTCTCCCATGTCTTGCATTACCCAACCCATAGATATGACTAGTATGTTCTAACAGAATGCCTGTAAATCCAGTTCTGTAGTATAAGCAGAATACTAAATATAAAACATGTTCATGTTGTATAACATGCTTTGTTGTTGCAAAAACGGAGTTAGGCATAAAAAGGCCCAAGTAATTGTTAACACTGAGCAAAAGCTGGAGCTTGGGGAGGCTGTCGTAGTGGAACTAGGCTGGGCTGTAACCGACCCTTCTGTGGACTCTTTAAGTTAGTCCATAAGGTATTCTGAAGATCTGAACACTATTTCATGGATTAATCTGTACGTTACAACATGATGCATCAGAAGGAACAATAATAATAGTAAAAACTGCAAAGGAAACAGGCAGTAACACAGGACAAAGCTTAATGTTAAGCATCTGTGCCTCCTGGGAAGGAAGCATTACATCTGGTAAGGCCACTACTTTTTCAGAGAAAGAGCATTTGTTGTGAAAGGCTAAGAAGCAAGTCACAATAGCAGTGGTTTCATGAAGCAGCAGGCACAGATTTTGTTTTCTTCTAAATCACTGGAGAAAATGGGTGGGGTTGAGCTGCTGTTCTCCCCGCTGTTCACTGCAGCTTGATGCCTTCACCAGCAACTGCTGCAATGACTAAGCAAAAAGAACTGTGCCAGGTACTTTATCAGGCTGTACATTAACCAAGCAGGGTACGATGACCATCTAAAAGCAGAGACCATCAGAAACCTCCCTCATCTGACGTGGCCAAAGACCTGTTACTCGTGTGTGTCACACAGGCATACTAGATGAGCTCTAGGACAAATCAAAACAATTGAGTAGCATCTCATTTCCACCCAGTTCTGGCTTATCCTCAACTGCTTTGTAGTGTGGATATTCTTTTATCTGGACTCTACCTGCTCTTAATCAACTTTATTTGGCTCTTACTTGATGGTGTTTCAGTTAAACAAGGAGAAGCTCAGTAATGAGTGCTTCTGTTAAGCATTAGGCAAGGGGTTTTACAGAAGGTGATGTGTTTCTATGCACTGCCTGTCACTTCTGCATTAAGAAGAAAAGGTTTTATATCATGATTGCTGCATTCTCATTTCCAAGCAGATGGACACATGTAATAGTAGCCACTGTGTACTTCAGCATTCAGCACAAGGTACAACCAACAGACTGTGTATCTCCAGTAACAAAGCTCAGCTCCAGCAGCTCTCCTGAGAAGAATTCTGATCTCCCTAGCTACTAGGAGGCACTTCCATTATTGTTGACAAAGTCAAATCTGGTTGCTGACCTCTGTAGTTTCAGGGTCCTACTTCATACCTGTCAGAGTAAACAGTGTTTCCATACAAAACCAACCTCTCCAAACACCAGCCGAGTACAACAGCACACTCCAGGCTTCGCACGGAAAGCTGTGACTACACTGGCAGCGTTACACATTTCCATTGCTGAACTATATAAATGCTGCTTTTAATGCATCTTTTCACCTATTAAATGTTCTAATTGTCTAAACATTCTGTAACTTTCTACTTGAGATGTGATATTTATTCCTACAACTACTGAAATTTAATCTACAAAGTTATGTATTTTAACAGCTTTAAAGCTGTTACACGTATTTTTAACAATTAGCTTTCAGGATAATAAAATTATACTGAACAGTTCAGTGTATGAGAGGATGGGGCTCAAATTAAAAGTTTCTTGATAGCAAAAGTAATTAATATTAAAACACCTGAAAGCAAGTTCTAAATAATGCCACCTGTAAACAAATAGGAAACACAAAAGTTCTGTTTCAGTATGAAGATTACAGTGGTGTCCCCCATTTTAAAGCACACACATTTCTTTTACTGACTGTTTTATATAGAATGAGGACTTCAAGACAGAGGTTTTGCTTTCTCTGTTTTCATCAATATAGTAGGTGAATGCAAGAAGCAATTACAGAACTGATGTATTTATTTGTTATTTAATATTGTGACAACATGTTGATAAAACACTGGAAACCGTCACAAGACGAAATCTCTAGTTCCTGGTCCCCCAGATTAACAAGAAAAAATCCCTCCTCACCTGTCATCAGAAGGCCTGTCCCATGGGGAATGGATGCTCACGGACACAGAGCTGTCTACAGATTGACAGAGGGGGAAGTTTTGTCATCTTTAATCCACAAATATTGCATAGAGAAAAAAACACCCTTGGTATGTCAATTCAGTGCAACTGAAACATTTTACACAGTCCGTAAATACAGTAGTTGATCCTCATTATAACTGTATAAAATCCTAAAAAGGAGACTTAAGAGGGGCATAAATGTTCTCCAAAATAGTCAGAAAATATTTCTGTCACGAAAATAAGGTACTTTTTAGATAAAAGTAATAGATTAACAGTACTTTGAGTAGCAACCATTTGTCATTCATGACCCTGAAAAGGCACTCAACATCTGAACATGGGAACAGAAAAGACTGAGAAAACCTGGCCTGTGGGAATCAGCACTGACCACCATGAAGAAACCTATCTAGCATGAACAATTATTTTTTTACTACTATTTATTAGAGCAGAAGTTACAAACATGGGTAAGATTCTTTGTAACAAAGGCAACATTAACACATTAACTTAGTATATTGACATGTAATAAATAAAGCATACTAAAATGAAAGCTGAAAAGATCAGTGTATTGAACTTGGAACTGGTCTTCTGTATCTTGCTAAGGGACTTTGTCCGAAAGCAACTGTGGCTGTCTTCTGAATTTAGCCAGCTGAACAACTGTGGATATAGTTCGAGCTCTTAGACTGGGTTTTCACATTTTTACCTACATGCAGCACAGGTCTGACAACATTTCACAATTTCTCTGGAAATTATTTGTAAGCCAACTCATACTAAATAGCTACCTCACTACATGTGCCTTCAAAATCTTGTGAACAAATTTTCAACCTGTGTATATATGGGGACTGCCAAGCACTGCCCTTTCTCTGTCCAACACCCAGAGCTTTGCTTAGACAACCACCGAGTCCTGGAAGCAATACATCAAGCACAAGTTCAATGAAACCCTTCCTCCCAAAGACCAGCAAGTTTTCAGAAACACCTCTAGAACAGTTAATAGAAAACAAGCATTTTTCCAGCATGGGTTTTACAGAACATGGCATTTTTTTTTTCCATATATGGAAATTGTGGGAAATACTTCCCACAGCTGAGTAGAAATGCCCCCCCGCCCACCTTCCAGTCCCATCATTTTAACAATCTGAGCAAGGAGGCACTTCGTATGCTTGGTCTATGATTTACATAGCTATATTTTTTCCAATGATTTCTTAATACTGTAACTTTGATATTTACACTGTTCCCTACATTTAATCAGAATATAACACTCCGAGATCTCAATC